TCTCTCTGCAACTGCTAACTTGTATGTATGGGTTTTGTTTTAATTTTTTTCTAAATCAACTAATCAAGGTATGTAATTCTTGTTTTGCAAACTAAATCCTTTTTTTTTTTTTTTTGATAAGCACAAACTAAATCCTATTTGGTGAAATTTTTTATGATCTTTTTTTTTTATTATTATTATTATTTACAATATAAAGTAACAAAATTTGCATTGCATTTTGAGGGAATCATTACATTGGATTTTGAGGGAATCACCGTAATCTACATTTTATTTCAGCGAAACAATTTTTTTTTTAATTTCTATAACTTCTATTTCTGTTTGTTTGGTTGTTTTGTTTTTTTTTTTTTTTTTTTTTTTCCGTCTGCAAGAAAATTTGAATCTGGGCATGAAAAAAAAAAAAAAAAAATCTGAATTGGTTTAAAAATCTGCAGAGATTGATTCTGAAACAATTTTTATCAACATGCCCAAGCTTTTTGAAGACGGAAATCTTTTCAGAACTAAAAAAAAAAATCATAACAAGAACTTTAGTACTTAGACAGTGTGTGTTTTAATTGTTATGAGTGAGATTGTGAAACCTCTTTCCTCACAACTTGAGTGTTTTCTTATTTTTAGGGTTAGCATCGGACCTTAACATTTAGCAAGAACAAGGTTCAAGAAACATGCCTTATCAGTCATCAAGTAACTTCTAAAATTTTAATTGGCATTTTTAGCTATTGGTTACGTTTATATATTCATGTTTTACATACTAATTTTTGTTTTTGTTTTTGTTTCTACATACATATATATAATATTGTTATGATGTGATGCTCGAACAATTATTAATGGGAATTAAAGACTTGGAAGTTAGTTTTCAATTTCAGAATATATGTTTTACAAGTTTATTAATGCATTTAAAACTTTTCCTCTTTTGTCCTAATAATGTAGTCTCTTTTCTGAAAGAAGAGAGTTGATGGGAATGGGTGGAGTTGGCAAAAAAGAAAATAGGTATGTTTTTTTGCCTAGCTAATTGAATTATATAAATTCCTTTACCGTTGTAGCAGTGATGTTGATTTTAAAACCATTAGAGCCTTTTTACTTCAAGATTATGATCCGATTCTAGGAAGTATCATCTTTAGGATATATATATTATATTATATTATGATATAGATATAGTTATTAGAAGAAGATTATAGATTGAGGATGTAAGTTAACTAGTTATGAGATGATATTTAAAGATTAATATAGATTATTGATAATAAGTATATAAAATAACAGTTAGAATTAGAAATTTAAAATTTAGAGATATAGAAGATATAGTTTCAGCATAGTGTCAAATTCTTTTAGTTACAAGAATCTTTGGTCACTTCACACACGATTTTTTAGTTCCTGAAATCTGAAACAATGGTGTGTGATATGATTCATCTACTTCGGCTCTCTTCTTTTTCATCTCTCTAAACCCTAATTTTATTTGTGAAAAAGAAAAGAAAACTCTACAATTTTAATTTAACTTTATCAGTTTGAGTATTTGACAGAGCTTTTGAAATGTTGAAACTAAAACAACAAAGAGGAGAGAGTCCACCAATAAGAATTACCCCAACTTAGGACTTATCAAAAAAAAAAAAAAAAATTGAATTACCCAAATTAGGACAAAATAAGCTCTCTGAGTGTCTTGACTAATATTGGCATGGGAGACTTCTATAGATATGGACTTGTAGAGAGAAAGATATATGGTTGGGGACACAAAAGTGTAAGACAATTGTGAACTAACGATAGGGTGTTGGCTTGTTTCATGCATTGGATCTAGGAAGTGTAAAACAATGAATTGGAAAGTTTTGATGCAACTCAAATTACAGATACAGACAATAATTAATTTATATATTTATAACTTTATTAATCTAATATGATATTACCGTATATGTTACATATATACATATAAATATATATATATATGTTTGTAATTTATACTTATGCTTAGATATTTTTTTATTTAGCCCACCCCATTGAGAAATCCTAGATCCGCCCTTGACTGATTCTGACAGAAGTGGTAAACTGTAATGAACATTAGTTAACCTAACAATCTAACCGAGAGTTTCAGGAGATGCATGGAGAAATGAAAATTTAAGCCTAATCTTTACCCATTGCCTTACCTTAAGCGGAGCTTGTCCTTCTTGTGAATATTAATGATAAAGAGGCAAGAACACTTATTTGAGCAGCTTGGTGAAGGGGGGTAAGTGATAGTGTGGTTCCAGATCGAAGAACTATTCTCTCTTGTATTAATATTGAAATACTAGTAATTGGAACTTTTCCAAAGTCTGACTAATCTGAGTATAGTACTAGTCGCTTGTGTAATTTGAAGCAAAATATGGTCACGTTGAAATAGCATGTTCACACAATTCGAATATGACACATGATTGCTTAATCTTGTTGGGTGGTAATTGTGTGTATATAAATTGATATCATTAATCCATTTATAAGTGCATTAAATCTGTTTAATTAAACATTTCGTCTTAATATAAGAGATGATCATTTTAATTAAACGAGTCATTCTTCTATAAAAAATACTAATACCCGATTTAATTAAATGTGTTGTGATCAAGGATGTGTAATCTAATGCTACTTTCTAATCTTTCAAAACAAAAGTGGGGTGTGTGTGGGTGTACTTCTTGTATGAAAAATGTGCTGTGTTATGCTCTTCGTGTCAACAAAATCTATCCAGATTATCAACACTAGAAAATTAATCGAAGGTTAATTTTATCCTTTTTAATAATTGTGTTGTGTTTGTGTCCTTAAGTACTCACGAAGCACACTATGGAAACAAACAAAATATACTGATGTCAACAATAAAAAAAATTAATAGAAGGTCAGTTTTACCATACTAATGTCTGAAAACTAATATAATAACATATTACACTACTATAATAGGTGGGTGCTTGCTCATTTACCAAAAAAACTTGAATTATTGGGTAATGCTGCATATTCATATATTTATATCCTTATCATTTTTCATTCGGATCCGATGTGGGATAAATACCTTTTGTAACATTCTCTCCCACCTGAACTCGCAACACCCTCGTTGCAGTCGGGCCGGCCTACCCAGGTGGCTCACCGGGACGGGCGCTTGGCGTAGCACCAGATTAAGGGACTGAGTCTGGCTCTAATACCAATTGTAACGGGTAGACGCTTGCCCATTTATCCAAAAGCTTAAACAATTAGGTAGTGTTGCATTACCCACCCATTTATATCCCTTTCATTTTCCATCCGAATTCGATATAGAACAAATATCCCTCGTAACAATTACATCTATTGAAATATTGACAAACATTAGGGGGCGATACGTAAATTACCTAATAAGAAGTATTAAACCAACCGCCGCCTTTTTTTTTTCGTAAGCTGTATAAAGATTTTCTTTCCCTCTCTCTCTTCCCTCCCACTCTGTTATTAAATCCGGTTTCTCTCTCCTCTCTGCAAGTCCGTTCGTCTTTCTCTCTAAATACTCAGTCTTGACGGTGATTCACTCTTAAATTCCATTTCGCTCTCCTCCTTACAAACGCTCTCTAAAGCCCGTGTCTCTCTAAATTCTCCCATTAAAGAGTCAGTTCGACTCATTGGACTCAATCTTGACTCAATGGAGTACAGACAATACATTACCAACCCTAACCCCAATCGACGATTTTCTGGTAAATTGAAACGTATTTTATTTTATTTATTTATTTGCTAGGCCATAAATCTTGCATTAACGCTTGATCTTCTTTTGAGTTTCTTGGAATTAACTTATTTTACGGACCCTATTTGGATTCAGTACCAAGCGAACCGTCGATGGCTAGAAGAAGATGAAATTCGTCGCATAATTCAGAGCTACAAAAGCCTTATCTTAAGGCGAGAGCAGGTCATTTCCCCAGAAGGTTAGTTAGATTTTTTTTTTTTTTTTCATTAGCATATGAGTTCAAAAGAAACCTGTGTTTGTGCGTTTGTATGTGTTTTTTTCCAGATTCGATTTTTTATTTTTATTTTATAATACCTTATTAGCCTTTGATTGAGGTTTAACATTATATAGTCATACATACATATATATATATATATATATATATATATATATATATATAATCCATGGATTTGCAGTATTATGATAGGTGCCCAATCTAGGAAAAGCCTCACTGGTTCTTGGGTTCTTGTTTTTCCTAAAGATTTGTTCCAGAAGCAATACACGTAGATGACTGCCGCACATCAACAGTATATAAATAATTATAATAATAAATAAAAACTACAAAGACCTTTTACTCGTTTTTGTAGTCATTATCTTTTTCGTACCATGAAAGACTACCAAATATCCACAAGTACTCCATTAGTAAATTATATATTTAGATATTGTCAAATGTATATATTCTAGCCCATATAATGTATTAATATCATAAGTCCATGCATGCAAATTAATTGAAGAGCATGCAAAATTCACAGATACTGATAATTTTGGGCCACACACACATATATATAAAGCAACTTACTTTGACCTCTCTTGAGGTTTATGCTTATTAGCTTTTGATGAAAGTTTTGAAAAAATCAATCTGATGTCTGTGCTAGAGTGAATCAGTGATGACCTTTGTGATTATACTATATTACCCTCATTGTTATTATATTTCTTTTTATCTTTAGTGCTGATGTAACCCTAATAAAATGAATGTATTGTAAATTGTTATTAGTTCACATTCCTTGCACAGAAATGGAACACAGATATTCACTGTTGATTGTGACTGTTTTGTTTGTTTTACAGCTGGTTCCTGGTTCATGTACGACAAAGATGTAGTTCCAAATTTCCGTTATGACGGGTACAGGTGGAAAAATAGCCACACTTGAAGTTGTAAGGGCCTGCTAATTCTGTCACAGTCACTTCTATTTTTATAGAAGTGATGAAAAGTTATTAATGCATCACCACCACATGTAGCTGAACCACTTATTTAGGTAGTGGTAGAGTTCGGCATGGTGATTTGAATATCTTAAAACTAAGAAATTGCTACTCACTAGTGCGATTGTGTAGATTAAAACATAAGCTGAGATGAGAATAAAATAGGTGGATTTTTTTCTAATTAATAATCTTAATGATTAAAGGTGAATGCGATCAGTTGGACCTGTGACAACTGAACTTCCTCACTTATCTTGTAAATTTCTTAGCTGTGAGCCACTGATGGGTTTGACCTATGTTTTCATTAAACAATTACTCATTTGATCTCGTACTAACGGTCCCAACTAGATGACAAGCCTTAAATACATTCATGCCAGTGGAGACTAGTTTTTAAAACTATCTGTCCATACTTAGAAATTCACTTTGTGCAGGAACTTTACATAGTCACCCCTTCAAATAATTTTGGAAGCTAAAAAAATTTTATTAGTTGATTTTTCAAGTCGACAATTGTAACATCCTGAAAAGGAAAGATGGATCATGAATTTGAGCTAGGTCAAGTATGAAATGATATGTATATATTAATTATATGATTGGAGTCCAGGACCATATTATTTGTATTTTCAGTTTGGTATCTGATACTTAATTCTATGCGTTTATTTGACAATATACTTTTTTAACATTTTTCGTGACTAAAGGGATTCTAAGGATTGCCATGACTGCACTACAGTTTTCTTGGGGAAATTCCATTATATATATTAGTGGGTAGAAGGGTCTCAAGTGTGCTATGAAGGTAGAATATAGAATGAATTATTTTTCACTGGGGCACTACCTATCATCTGGTTGAAAATGCTTGCTATCTGCATTTTCAAATTTCACATTAAATGCAGAAAATACTTCCGAGTTTCCTTTATCCTAATGCATATACGCTCATGACCCCCAATTAAATGTCCTCCTTTTTGTAGGTTGGTGAGCTGAATATTCTAGAATGCCGTGCTAGCCGAGGAGAGAATGATAACATTCAGCGACGAACTTATCAGTTACTTGAGGAGTGAGTGCTGCTGCCTTCCTTCTGTTCACAGCATGATGTATTCAAGCAATTTTATTTTTAATTGCTATTAATGTAATCGCATATTAGTGTTCTTAGTAGGATGAGTAGATATGGATTACATATACAGGGTTACTTAGAGTTTCATTAATCTTTTATGCTCATGTTCAGTAAACTGGTTAAGATTCCCTAATAATAGCATTTTTTAAATGCATTCTATTTTGTGAAATTTTACTTTGCAGTTCTTCTCAATGAATTATTGTAATAAGCTATTTATATATTTAAGGAATTTCCTTTGTATGTAAAGTTCACTGACAGCATTAGTTCTCATTTCTTATTTCATTTTTCCTTGTTGCAGGCAATTTGAAAGGATTGTACTGGTGCATTACAGAGAACTGAAAGAGGTATTATAATATTAGGCAACATAAAGAAAAATAAAAATAAAAAGTAAGGAAACTGTTTTTTGCCATGCTTTGTAATTAAAATTGCTAACACAGGTAATACTGTATGTCCATGTACATGCAAGCATACAATACACAGAGACATATATGCACACATATGTGCACTTGTAGAGACACAAACACACTTCATATGTTTATCTATGTGTTAGGTATGTGTATGAGGTAAATTTATTCCATAACGAGAATGTATTGATTGAAGTTTTTCCAGTAGGATTCGATTGAAGGCTCAATTAATCAAACTTGATAGCACAAATTTTTGAAAACCCTCTCAAAATACAATTTTAACTGAACTCCTATATTGGCTATACATATAGGTTATGGCCAATCCAGAATAGGTTGAATGTCTCCAATCATCTAGAACAAAATTCCTTGTGAGAATGGAGAATTCCTATTTTACTCAATCTAGGGTTTCTATAGAACTACCAATATCAAGGAGAAGATCATGGATTCTACCCTATTCAACCAATCAGTTCAGAGTAGAAAGGGCCAGCAATCAGCAGAGAAGTAGATTTGTGAGGAGCGAATGTTGTAGATGAGGGAAAAGGCTTGGTTGTTTAATGTTTTAGATGAGTAGACAGACAACATGGAGACTTTTGAGAGAGAGTTTGGTGTTGCCTGTGTCTGGAGGTAATTAGGGGTCGAGGTGAGTGAATCTTAACCTGGTGGTAATCTCTTTCTCCAATAGTGGATTGTGCTGGTTTGGACTAGGTCTCGTTGTTTTTTCCTTTTTAGGCTTTTCACATGGAAGTATTTATGTCTCTGCTCTACTCTACTTTCTCTTTAATGCTGGATTGTGAGTTTTGAATGAAACTGGAAATTAGTCATGGGAATGTCAATCTTCCCAATGAACCACATGAAATTAATAGGATTAACGGTTTTTTGAAAACTTATCAAAAAGTAGAAAAATATCAATAAGACCAATTCACCCCTAGATCAAACCCACCGTTCACATTCTGCCACATCAAAGCCTTGGGCAACCTTCTATCGCACTATCAATTGGTATCAAAGTGGGTTAATCGACATGCAAAGTGGTCCCTAGAAAATTATGGATATTAAAAAATTATTGTTGGTTGATTTTGTTTATTTGGATGACTATGCTTTCTTGCACAATTTATGGATGAAAATCACTCTAATTTATTTGATACATCGTATGATAGCAGGAACTTAGCTTCTTAAAGCATGCTAATGCTTCTTGTGACGCTTTGCATAGTTTATTGCATAACATGTCATCTAATAATACTTGCAATTTAGATTCTTACGAATATGATATATTTATACGACTTTTGCTGAAAGACATAATGATTTCTTCAGTTTACAGGCTGAAAATTATGAATTGTTGAATAAAATAAAGCCAATTGAACCTATAACAGAATCAAAAACTTGAAATTGCTTGTTTAGTAATTTTGTTAACTAAAGTCAAGAAAGAAAAATGATGTACTTTTGGTATGTGTATTGCACAATTGTGTTTTGATTTTCAATTTGTTCATTATAGGATGAGATAGTCATCTTGTTCCAACACCACTCACTGTTTTGGTTGGAGGAGCACCCTTTGATGGCCAAGAGATTAAATTTGGACATGAAAGAATCAAGAATTGTAGGATCGTTGGAGGGACTTCTGTTAGTTACTACTAATGATGAAAGACTATTTGATTAGCCCTTTAATACAGAAAACCAAGTTGCTTCCCGTTTACCCGGTTCATGTTAGGCCGAGATGCTTTTATAAGAGGTTAACTGGTGTTTGTTTCATTGGGAGAGAGTTGAAGGTTGTTTATATGTTATATTCCCAACATTATAACACAACTACGGTAACCGTGTTTAGTGCAGCAAGTAATAAATGGAAAATCATCTCTCCCTCGCCCCACATGTATCCACGCAGTTCACCATGTGGCATACCTTACGAGAATGGACTCTACTGGATTGCAGAAGATGAGCAAAAGATGGAGGAAGATGACGAAATAAAGGCAGACGATGAGAAAATACATAATTTCTGCCTGTAATCTCATTACAAACAGTTTTAGCCAAATACCAATTCCTCGCCACCAGTTTGGAAAGCCTCATCTCTGTTTGTTGAGAGGAAGACCTGCCATATTCGTTTCTTCCGTTCAAAATCTGGAAATAATGTTGTTAGCTGAAGGAGGACATCAGCTGCTGACTGTGAACTTTGCAATCAAGCTGAACTTTTCTGTTCTGCCTGTCAGGTTGAGTGAAAATGACATGGTGCTCATGGGAAATAAGAAAAACTTGTTGCAAAGTATAGATGAAGTAGAGCCTGAAGGGCTTGAAATTCCAAATCTGCGAAGTGTTTTTCAGGCAACGAGCCTATGGTATGTCTATATTATTGGTATTTTAACCATCACTCATTTGCGGTTAGTTACAAACCATTCATTTGCTTTTAATTTTAATTTTGACAGGCCAGGACTAAAACGTCAAGCAGCAGACTTCTTTGAGGAGCGACTTTGAACTCTAGTGATGCTGTGCTCTGATTCTGAAGCTATTTGTAAAAACCAAACTTAATTCTCTGTTTTACCTACTGTAAAAACCAAACTTATGTTTTACAGGTACATATCACTTGAATCTTACAGGTTGGGTTGAAAGTATTCCCAAAGCATTGTTTTGTTTTGTTTTTTTTTTTTTTTTTTTTTTTTTTTTAATTTGGATGTTATAGACAGGGTAAAACTTCTGAAGCACGGACACAGATACGGCGACACGGCAAATTTAAAAAAAATAAGACACGGCGAGGATACGCCTATAAAATTATATATATATATATATATATATATATTTATATTTAAAATATAATTACTAGAATCTTATACAGGTAAATAAAACAATAACAAATAACAGAATTAATTTCAATAATTTTATCACTGTTGTAAGAAAAATATAGACAAGACAAAGCAGAAAATAAATGAAAAATAAAGTTGATCCAAATTCCAAACGAAGATGTGCAGAAGAGACATAGTTATAATGAACTAAATATGTATATGGATAAACATATATACTTTCAGTCTTTCACAAAATCTTGTTCGCGTAACTTAAATATATATATATATATATATATATATATATATATATATATATATATATATCTTATTCATGTAGAGACAGAGAGAAGTGAGAGAAAATAAATTTTATCTAATAGAAGTGTCGGACCGCGTGTCCGAGGTCCGAAAAGTATCCAACACTGGTACGGGACCTCTGGGAGGAGTGTCCGTGCTTCATAGGTATTGACGGTAGAATCTATGCCAAATTGGATAGGGCCTATAATCAAAATTGGGTCCTAAGATATCCTAATACTCAGGAACTTTTTACTGCAGGCATTTCTGACCATATGATGGTTAAATACTCTAATGACATTGCTTCCTACCCTAATCCTTTTAAGCTCTTGAACTGATATCATTAAACAAGCTTGGTAAACTCGAGTATGTTGGAATCCTTTGTGCATTCTAACTAAGAAAATACAGTAGGTAAAGCAGAAAGTTAAGGATTGGAGTTCACAAGTGTTTAGACACAAATGTTCAGTTGGCAGAATCTAGAAGCAAGTTGGAATCTATCCAGATGGCGATATTACAAGAACAATTGTAGAAGCTAAAAATGAAGCCAGATTGGAAATTGAGAATGCTATTAAAAATGAGGAAGTTATTGAAGCAGAATCAGGTGTGACTGCTCTGCAAAATGGGAGAGGTGTCATTCAATGAGCATCTTGCATTTCATAAAAATTGGGGGCAATATAGTGTCCTTAAGTAAGGGTGATTCTATCTTCAATTTATAGGATTGGAGGCAATGTAATCAATCCATTGGAGAATGAGAGTCAAAAAGACCCTAGGATTAGAGGCGAGGGGGGTATTTGGAAGCATAAAAATTGAAGAAGATATAGACAAAGCAACTAAGTGTTCTCTGTTAGGAGATGTTATTCATGGCAAAGACAACTTGGATTCACTGGTGTAAAGGAGTTTACAAGCCTTATTCCTCAATATAGAGCTGTGTGAGAAACGATCAGTACTCGGTGCTTTGGAAACAAACTATGGATATTAGAGAGATAAAGCAAAATTCAGAATTGGAAATGGCTGGCATTGTCTTTGACACCATTTCTTGATCCTTGGTGGGAGGAATGGGAGGTCAAGGGATCACCAGACAATTTGATCCAAGGAAAACAACTACTTTAATTGAAATCATACAGAATGGGAATTGCCCAGTTGTACGACTCCGGAAATTTGTTTATTGATTGAATCTTCATCTTTGTTCACAATTGCTTGAAGGTGGAAGATTCTATAGACCATCCTTTTTCTAAATGCAACTTTGCTCATCAAATGCTGATCATAATTTCAAATGTTCATCCTCCTCCGTACAAAGATGACAAACCACATTAATAAAAATTAAAAATTAAAAATAATAATAATAATAAAGAACAGAAATGCTCCAAAGTACTTAATGAAAAAGAAATCCTCTGAAGTTGAGAAGTAAAAATTGCATGGATTTATTAGTACAAAGTTTCAATATTATTATTCAAAGAGATATCAGAGTTTCGATGGAAAAAACAGTTCTAGTGTGATAAAAACTCTAGGTGTCCTTTTGTGAAGTATGCATAACATTTAACAGAATCTATTACTAAGTACCTCCCGGTGACTAATTATGTTGCAGAAAGGCTATTCTAGAAGTAAAAGCAAACACACTATTTCAGATACCTCTAAGATTATTGTGTTATTTTAGACTATAACTTTTCAAATTTTAGGGTATGCTTATTAAAGCCATAGCAGTAAGGATTCTTAGTTGCCGCAAAAAAGAAAGTAACAATTTTTGTAGTTATTGAATCAATTTTTTACTAAAATTGGGATGACAATGAATAATTTGTTTTCTCTCAAGCTCCAAATTGCTAATTTCTTGTTTCAATAGTGTTGACATTGAAAATTACCAGATGTGAGGTGAGATATGTTTGGGCATTTAAATTTTCAAAGTTTGAAATTATTGTTTTCAAAGAAAACAAAAAGATGGTTTCTGTCACAAACTTTGTGGCGAGATAAGCATCCGTTAAAGCTTGCTTGTTCGTATAGATTTGGTGTAGTCTAACGCAGCTTCCATCTTTAGGAGGTAATTAATTTTCTCCTATTTATTGATAACTACACTAGAAAAAATTGGGTATGCTTTCGTAAGGAAAAATTTGAATCGTTTCAAGCATACAAAAATTAAAGCGCAAGTTGAAAAATCTTTGAACGTTCAGCTTAAAATATTGAGAAGTGATCAAGGAAGTTAGTATCTGTCTAATGCGTTGTGAAGATATCTGAGTATAAGGCATTAGTATATGGTAAGATGAACACCACAACAACATGGTGCCAGTGAGAGGAAAAAAAAAATCGAATAGCCATGGAAATGGCGATGTGTTGGAAGTCCTATTTATTTGATCAATCAATCTGCCACAAATATTTTAAAATTTTGCACACCTCATAAAGCATGTTATAAAATTAAGCTTAGTGTTCAACACTTCAAGAATTTTGAAAAGCATGGTCATGCATGTACATTGGATGTACTGAGAAATGAGAAATGAGAAATATGTAGGATAATAATTGGGAAAATTTTATTTTTATTGGGTACAATGAAAGGTCCAAATCCTATTAGTTGTACAATCCATAACAGAAAAAAATAATAATAATAAATAAATAAATTATGATTAGTAGAAATGTAAAATTTGATGAAAGTCTTCTTCAAAATATGCGATTATTCTTCACGAAGAAAAAAATTCTCAAAATGTAAAAATTAATGGTGATTTGCCTTATCCATTGTATCTAATCAAGACAATTTTTATTTATTTATTATTATTTTGGAGAGAGCAACTAGGGCTGCTACTGAGAAGAAAGCCTATGACAATTGCATTGCTCTGCTCTGCTTGGCGAGATGGGTAGAGTAAAGGGTAGTGTCAAGGCTCTCCACGCTTGATTCTCTCAGGTTGGGGTCATCAGATATGCCCAATGATACAGAAACTGGTATATCAATCAATCCTCCCAAGGGACAGGAAAAGTCGTGCAACGGTCCGGATGACTGCGATGATGATCTGCCGGTCGATCCCCCAAGTGTTTACACTAATCTTGCCACGAATCAGGCTGAGCTTGTTTTCCGGGAATGCAAAGAAATTTTCGATTCAAGGGTTGTTCCATCTGTTCTTGACCCTCAGCCTGCTGGTTCTACCTTGGTGGACCTGGGGTCCCCCCTGTCCATGAGGACAATATTTAGGGCGTTCAGGAGCTCACTCAAGTGGGCAACGAGACTAACTAGGCATTTGAGCCTTCGATCACGTACTCCTCTCTTTTGTTTTTTGGTAATGATGTGGCCCAATTTTTATCAGTGTGTTTCGGGAGTTGTTTGGATTGTTTCTTCGAGTTTAGAATCTTTAAAAACTCATTTGAGTTTATTGTGGTCATTTTCGAATTTTTGGACTAGGAGGTCTAGTGTGAGTCTGGGATTGGCCGATTGCGCGGGAATGACAAGGGCTTAAATGACGAGGGCTTAAATGAAAGGCCATCAGAGATAGAGACATTATTATTATATTTCCGGTGAATTGTTGCCTTAGAGTAATTTTATGAAAGTTGCTTGAGGTAAAGGAGGAATTAGCTACAAATATTTGGGTTTAAATGATATAATTAGTGAGAACTTATGTGGGGACTATATATATATATATATATGATATGTTGTGCAAACAATAAGGTTATTCACCTTCTTCTTCCTCACGCTTTCTCTCTCTATATATCTACACGGATATCAACTTGACTTGCCCTAAAAACGTGAAATGTCTTTTATACTCTTATCTAATTTAATAATAGTTTAATAAAAAAAATATGTCAAACCAAAAACTCTATTAACATTTGTCCCTTCTTGTAAACAGTATATTATCCTATCTATTTAAAAAAAAAAAAAAATGTCATTAATAAAAAAAAAAAAATGTTTTTGTAAATTTTATAAAAAAAAATTGATATGAAAATTGATACTTTGTATTATTTCAATGACATAACATTTCATAGAATTTTTATCATTTCATTTCAAAATATAAAGTTATTGCAGTCTTTTAACACAATGAGATGGTAACTTAGTTATTTTTTAAATTTTCATTAATAGGAGGGAGTGTCGTTGAGTACACACGCTAAATTTGATGTCAATATAATAAATGCCAAATACTTTACATGTGCGTAATTTGCCAAATCTCACAAGAGATCGATGTAATTTATCCTATTTATAAACCAACAAGATGTTGCTGTAGTTGGGTTGCTTATCCACAAATTTTGTACTTTTTATTTTTATATGTCAATGGCCATTTACCTATGTATTTGATGGTATGGTAAGATTTAGACTAGGCGTAAGCCCAGGGTTGTGAGTATATTTCTAAACAAGTCGGGCTTGAGAATTTAAAAACGTTATCCTTCATTCGATCTGATAACTCTATATATATTTTGTGAATAAAATAATATTCTATTAGTTAACAAATGAATATTCAATTTTTATTTTTTATTTTTATTTTTCCTGTAAAAGAGATTAATGTCAATAGAGAATAGCAAATAATGATACAAATAAAAATGATATAATTTGAAATATGAACAAAATATGGAAAATTTTATATCTAGTACTCTGTTAACAAAAATGAAAACTTAAGGAGTATTGAGTAATGGAAAGAAAAGAAAAAGAGGAGAAAATAATAATAAAAATATTTTTGATAATATTTAAATATTATATGTTAGATTGAATTATTATGGATTGGATTCTAATCCATTTAGTTTGAAAATTTTACTTAGTTCTCAGTACTGTGTGACAACTTACAAGTGATCAAAGCTTAGGCTTTGTGGCTTTGTGGTTAGACCCTAAATTTTAAACTATTAAAGAGTACTGACACTTAATTTATATATACTCAGCCGATGGGACAATGTTTGGATATTTCCTCCAATTGATGTGATCTAATATAATTACAACACATGTTTTAAAAATAAAAAAACTTTAATGGTGGACATTACTCATTTCTTACCGGTAACCGTTTTCTTTTTTCTTTCTTTCTTTCCTTCTTAATCACGATCATTTACCTCTATTCTCCTCTCTCCCCACAGCAAAACGAATCATTTTTTAGCCCTAATATTATTGTATAAGGATCTTTTTTTTATATATTTTTTTTTATTGCAAGTTTTCATTATTCAATGAAAATGAGCAAGAAAACCTATTTGAGTTTTTGCTTTGTCTTAATAATAAAAATTTTGGTCAATTCCATATCACTTAAAAAACGAGAGGTGGTTGCTTATTAAGGGAATACTTAGGATTTAATCATATTCTATTTCTAATTTTGTAAGGAATAAGATCCAAATTTACTTTATAGTGGCTAAACAATTTCTTAGTAATTGACTATAATATTTGCGTAATTATGTGTGTTTGTGATGAGAGAGGAAGAGATAGATTTGTTTTGGCAAGAGAATGAGAGATAAACTATCCTGATTAAGAAGAAAAGCGAAAAACAAAAAAGAAATAAACTGTTTAACCTTTAAAAAATGGGTATTGCTCCCATCTTTAATTTTTAATATTTTTCTGAGAAGGATTTGGTTTGAAACAAAGCACCCGTATATAAATGCTAACCCACTAGAAGAGAGAGTGAAGGGGGCAAAGCCATGATGAAGAAGGCACAGAAAAGAAATCAATCCTACCGAAAGCCTTGTCAAGACGAAGTTGGGGCAAAGGCAGACATGATAGTATCCACTCTGCAAAGAGGAAAAATTGCTTGCGAATCAGAAGAAGAGTGGCCAAACCAACTATGACGACGAAGGCGTCGGAGAAACGAAATCAGCCATCATGCCTCATAGATCGTCTTCCTCGCGATGTACTTATGGGCATACTTTCTACACTGCGAGTCAAATCTCTCTTGCAATTGAGGTGCGTATGCAAATCCTGTTACTTTTTAATCTCCAACTCCCAATTCGTTAAAACCCATCTCAATCTATCAATCGCATGTCCTGATCTCCTAAAACAAAGACAACACATTTTCATGATGACTAACCTAAGCATCTCCGAGTGTCCCTACGCCTTCACCCTCGAATCGGCTTTACCTGATGACAATGTCGGCGACATTGTGCCTTCTGTAGTAAAACTTGATTGTATCCCTGAGATAAAAAAATATACTTTTGGTTCATACACTACAGTAATTGGTTCTTGCGATGGTTTGTTGTGTTTGAGGTTCGGGTCAACAGCTTTTTATGTATTCAATCTCTCTACCAGAGAGTCCAAACGAATTCCTGAACCTGATTTCAAATTCTGTTACTGGGAAGATTTTTATATATTGGGATTTGGCTATGATCAATCCGTCCATGATTACAAGCTGGTGGCAGGAGATAAAAAAAGGTTCTATGTATATTCCCTAAGAACTGATTCGTGGAAAAAGGTTGAAGGCCTTCCGCCTAAACCTTTATCTGTTTCTGTTGGGATACTGCTGAATGGAGTAATCCACTGGCTCTTGCCTTTGAAAAGGCGATTAAAGATTGTTACTTTCTGTTTTGCGGATGAGAAATTCTGTGAGTTTCCGCTGCCTACATTCTCTTTTCGTTGCACATCCGAACTTGGGTTGCTTGGAGGATGTCTGTGTATACTACTGGGTCGTGGTAATGAAATTTGGGTGATGAAGGAATACGGGCGTGATACAGTCTTGGACCAAAGTGGTGATTGAAATCCCATCTTTCAGAATCCAAACATTGGCTTGCTTGGAGAATCATGAAGCCATATTAAAGATAGACTCCAAGAAGTTAGTTCTGTACAACACAAGAGAGAGAACATATAGGGATCTGGTGCTTCCAGATTTCTTTGATTTGAGAAGGATTGGAGCTTATGTGGAGAGCCTTGTATCGCCCTGTCGTGGAAATTTGAGTTAGAGGAAATATGAAGTTCAAATTAAATTCAAGATGAAGGATGACCGCAAAGGTATACCAAATAACTTAATTATGTTTTCTTCACTATTTTTTCCAATTAAAAAGACATTTTATATACTTAAGGATTTCAATATGTTAGGAGGATTTTGGAGTTTTATTGTTTTTATTTTTATTTGTTTATATATAAAAATATTATTTTTTAATGAAACCTTAGTGACTTATTTAGCTACCTGTTGAAAGTTTGAGTTTTAATCGAGTATGTAGAAAATGTGTCTTTTCTCTTCAATTGCATTTGGAGAAGTAACCTTGACAAAAAGAATTGGATGATGGGAATGTTGTGAAAGCTTTTGGTATTTGGAAAAGTATAAAATTACTAAATGCTTGGATTGTGGCCCAAAAAGATGTCAGATAATTTGCTAGAACTGCTCTAAACGATTTCCCCATTGTCATCTTCTTCACAACTCACAAGGAAACATGCTTTACTACCATAAGCAAAAACAGTATAGGCTTAAAGTGGGGAGAAAGCAAGCGAGACATTATGTTAATATCAATTAAATATTTTATTTTTTATTTATTATTGTATGTATAATATATATATATTAATTTTAGGGAGATAACTTTTAAAAGAAATATAAGCGCAAGGGGGGCATAACACCCTATGTACAAAAGAGAACCAAAAGAAAGGAAACCATAATTCACAAGAAAACTTCATCTGTGATGTTCCATGCACGTGGTAGACGTTTGTTTTTAGCGGATCCCTCCACTCCATGTGACTAACATATCTTATACTTGACATCCTCTGTTATACACTTGACAATAGTTAGCCTAAATCCATTTGTTTCTTTCCTCCAAGGGTGATAAGACCATAGCAGCCAAGGCAATTTTGTGAATGACATTAGACCACTCTTTCCCTCTCAGGTTGGAGCCAACTCCAAAATGTATGACAGAGAATGAGAGGGAACCTTGACAGTTTACCTTTGTTTTGAATGATTTTCAGATGCAATTAGAGAACTTGCAATTGAAATAGTGTAGCTGAAGTAGTTTCTGATGCGTTCCTGCATTGCACACATGTATCATTCTGGATGATCCCTTTCTCTTTAAGCAGAGAGAGTTTGCAACCTTCCTGGAGCAGCCAGCCAAAGCATAAAGGAATGCCTTGGCATATAACCTTTAAATCAAACTTCTCAGGCCTAATTGTTTTTTTTCCTGAATGAGGCCTAATTATATCTGCCCTTTTGAATTCTAAATGAGTTTTAAGACTTTTTTTATAGAGAAACGTTCTTGCCACTGTCAGCCGAAACAATTTTATCTGGCCCATCTCTGTTAGGGACTGAGACTTTGGAAAGAATTTCTTTAATGGTTATCCCATTTCCTATTTTTCAGAATGTCAGCCACTTTTGCATTTTTGTCCAAACCTGATTGATGTATAATTCTATACCTTTGGAGTTTGGATGGAATAGGTCAACAAGACTGCCAGTATAATCCAGCCAGATAGAAGTATATCTCCCATTTCAATAACATGCTTTATTTTCACCCTTGGAGTGTCTTTCAGTGACAACAATTGTCTCGAAAACTAAGATGCTGAGGATGAATCTTAACCTTCCAGAAAGGGTTACCTTTTAAAAGGTCAGCACGGTTCCAATCTGTCCAAAGAGACTTGGAATGATTAGGACTAAGGATCTGCCATGCATGTTTAGAAAATGCAGCTCTGTTCCAAGTAGCAACGTCCTTCATGCCCAAACCTCCCTCATTCTTTGGGACACAAACATTAGACTAAGCAACTTTGCTTCCTCCTTTAGTCAAGGATTTCCCCTTCCATAGAAATCTCTTCAAGGTTTTGGCAAAATTAGAATGCTTGACAAATCAATACACCTGGACAGAGAATATGAATGTGTTTATGAGCTTTAATCTTCTTGCATAAGACTGGAAGTTTGTGTTCCAAATCTGGACTTTGCCAGTTATCTGCTCAATGAGAGGTATGTAGTCCCATACCTTAAGCTTATTATTATGCCCTAAATAGCTTCCTTGTTTTGATATGTGACTTTGGAGAAATAGCTCCCGTTCTTAGACATGTTAAGATTTAGACCTGATAAGGAGGAAAAATTAGTGAGGATCTCTTTGGTAGCTTTCATAGAATCTATGGAACCATAAAAAAAATATAAATAGATCATAGCAAAGCATGTGTGTGTGAAATTAGTTTCAACACATTTTCAATGATATCTGAAACTTCCACTCGCAATTCCTTTCCTTGTGATTCCATTTTGCACATCCATTCTCAAGATGCCCTTGTCTAATGCCTCTTTCCATTGTGAAAAACACCACACAGCCCACCACTAAAAGCTACTAAGAAGTTAAAGGATGGAATTCACATTTGAACCGCATCAATAAAATGGAGGAAAACTTCATAGACTTTGTAACTTAAATGATAAAAGCCTCAGGTAATGGTATCACAGACCTTTCAAGCACATTTAGCAGGTTTGAGAGTTTTGTGATCTCTTAATAGTTCTTAGAACAACAGGATTGTCTGTGATCCTTCTCCCTGGATAAATGTTGTTTGATTAGGAGTTCAATCTTCTAACTAAGGTGTTACACATGCAATGAACATAATATGAGAATGATAAATGTTATGAATAATAGAGAAATTGATGATGCACCTTAAAAGATGGGTGATAATAAAGCAGTGGGACCTGACAACAAACTAATAGAAGCTTGGAGAACTCTAGGAAATGTACGAATTGAATGAATAACCAATTTATTCAATAAAATTCTAAAAGAAGGAACAATGCCTAATGAATGGAGAAAAGGTACAATTGCCATTTACTAGTAAGAAAGTACGACTGTTCTAACATAAAAAAATAAAAGTAGCCTAGCGGTATCTGACCCTTACTTCCCAAAGGGAGGTTAGGGGTTCAAGCCTCAGTGGAGGCATGTGTGTGTGAGTACCAATTAGGAAAAAATAAAAATAAAAGTGATATACAAAATTGTTGTAATTGTAAAGGAACTAAATTAATGAGTCATACAGTTAAATTGTGGGCAAGGGTTATAAAACAAAGATAAGGAATGAAACCACAGTATCTGAATATCAATTTTGTTTTATGCCATGGAGATCTACTATGAAGGCCATTTATTTACGCAAGTAATTGATAGAAGAATGTAGAAGTAAACAAACAGACTTAATCATGGTTTTCTTAAATTTCCTGAAGGCATATAAAAAAGTTAAGAGAGATAATTTGATGAAATTTACGTACAAACGAGTCCCTTTTAATCTTATTAATATTCTCAAGGATATGTCTAACGATACCAAAACTAGAGTTCACATTGTATCTGGAGAAATTAACGATTTCTCATAGAATTGGGACTACACCAAGGATAGCCCATACCTTTTTTACAGTATTAAAAATATATCTCATGGTGCATGTTGTTTGCAGATGACATAGTGTTGTTGGATACTTCCAAGGAAGGCTTGGGAACAAATTAGAAACTTGGTGAAATGCATTGGAAACAAAAGGTTTAAAAGTTAGTAAGATTAAACCAGAATAAATGGAATTTAAATTTAACAAATACTCAGAAAGTAATAATATAACAATAGCAATTTAATACCATAGGGTTACTCAAAATCATTTTTTTTTTCTTAGTTGGTACTCACACACACATGCCTCCACTGAGGCTTGAACCCTTGACCTCCCTTTGGGAAGTAAAGGCCTGATACCGCTAGGGCACTGGCCGTTGGTGGTTACTCAAAATCGTTATGTCCAATACTCTGGATCAGTAACACAAAAAAATGGGTTTTGTTGGACAAATATGCTTAATGTTTGTCATGTAAAGATATCTGCATATATGTCTGAATAAGCATAATATAGTCAATTTTAATTGAGGGTTTTCTGCATTGTACCTATAGTTTGAAATTTGCTTTTCATATATTTGGAGTTTCTGATTGAGATTCACTATGCTCAAAATCAACAAAATTATGTGAACCTTTGCCATTGGGCATATGCTACATGATTCCTGAGAACTACTTATACTAGTTCCTCGCCAAAGCAAAGATTTTTGCACCTCCTTAACATTTTGTACTTCTCTTGTCAAAATAAAAATCACAGGACAATTATAGCTCTTTCTATCTCAGTAAACTTGGTTGTTCCTCTTTTTGACCCAAATACTAATTTTTTGAAAGTAGATGTCTAAAACAAGGCAAGTTTGTTTGCTGGAATCATATGTGTATGGGATGTCTGATGCGTCTATGACCTTAACAAGTTCTTTTTTATGGTTTCCTACACAGCATACACCAGTGGACTTCCTTAACTATCTAGTGTACTTGTCAAAATAAAAATCATAGGACATTCCATAGCTCTTTCAATCTTGGTAAACTTTTTTTCCCCTTATCAACCTGAATTATTGGTAGCATTCTGTTTCATTGCCCTTATTTTTTCTTTTTTCTATTTTTTGTTTCCCAGGGGAGGGAGGGAGGGGGGTGTAAATTTAGATTTGTATTGAAAGAAACAGCCTTACCAAGGAACATATCCTAGGAGAGAAGAAACAACTCAATAAGGACGACAGCAAGTCAGCAACAAAAACAAACAAAGGTAGCTAACAGCTAAAAGAAAAATATACTAAGCTATGGAGTTGCCTCAATTTGAACACCAGGAGCGAAGCTGAATGCTCTGATTCATTGAGAAAGGGAGTTGCACATAAATAGATATTGAATTCTTGCACACTCTCGGCAAAACCTTTATTGCTCCTGAAATGTATCTCCAACCCAATACACAGCTACCAATGCACTCCTCCGTATACAGCTCCTCTATTACATCTACAACTCAAATAGTAACAACTTTTGCCTTGTTAAGGGTTGATGGTGGGACATACATCAGGTATATCCCATCAATCATTTGTCTATTTAAGTTGAGAAACTCAGGCCAGATTGGTTATTCAGGTTTGAGTTGTAAGCTGGACTGCCATAACTGTTAGTTGTGTGCTCCATCGCCCACCCATATCACTGAGGGGCTAGGTTTTCAATTCATTTACTTGGGTTAAAGTTTGAATTCATCATGGAACAATTGTTATTATATTCACAGCCTTTAAAGATTTAGTGAAAGGATCATTTTATAAAGCTCAACTTGGGTGGTATGTAATTAGTTCTAATATAATCAATTTCAAGAGGCCGTTACTTGATGCATTGGTTAAAGCTTGAGTTGTGAATTTTGAGAATGTGCCATGCGTATGAGAACAGTCACTTTATTAAAAATGCCTGTATTTAGTCTGCTCTCATCGTGCCGCTTAGGTGGGAGGAACACTCAGGTAACAGCTTTTACTTACAGTAAGTTTATTATGTTTACTTGTAATTAATCATCATTGTGTAGGAGGCTATTTTCGCTATTTAGGTTCAAAATTACAAAAGGATGGAGAAAAATGGGGGAAGTGGTAAGTAGGCCTGGATGTGGTGGACAAAATGGAGGCAAGGTAGTTGCAGCCCATGTCACAAACGAATCTCAAATAAATTAATAGGAAAATTCTTTAGGACGGTTATTACATCAGCTAAGTTATATGGAGCAGAGTGTTGGCTGTTGAAAAGATACAAGAACAATGCATTCATGTAGCGGAAATGAGGATGTTACAATGGATGATGGGGTTAACTAGAACAGATGGGATTAGTAATGAATGAGTTAGGGGTAAGTTAGGAGTAGCTCCTAATGGTGATGAAATTGGAGAAAGTTGGTTTAGGTGGTATGGTCATATACAACTTAGACCAGAAGATGCACCGGTTAGGGGAGAAGGTTTGTTTGCCTAGGAGGTAAGCGCGAAAGAGACCGACCAAAACTTACATGGAATGAAGTGTTTAAAAATGATTTTAAAAAACTAAGAGTCGTGGCTTATAATAGGAAATAATGGAAAAAGAGAATTCATGTAGCAGACCCCATTCATATGGGACAAAGGCAAGGATGATGATGATATGTAAGAGATTGGCTCACATTTTGAAATACATTCCCACATTACAACTGTGTGATTTATGTAAAGCTACATATACCACACTACACCTTAAAATATAGCGTACTATGCTTCCTCTTTCTTTGAGATTCTAGTAACGATCAGAATACCAGATGACATAGGAAAGAACCTAAAAAAACGAAGCATAACTTGAAAGAAACTAATTTTTCGTGCTTAATAGAAAACATTCGCCTTTGGACTTGGGTACTCAGTGAACCAACATCTGAAAAATGTTTGATATTGATTTTGACACCGAAAGAAAAATTAAATGATATTACAGCTAGCTAGGCTTGTTTAAATGAAATATCCATGTAACTCATGGAAGGTCTGATGGGTTCTTCATACGTAGTAAAATATGCTAAAGACAAGTTGAAAGCATGTGTGCAGTTTTTGGATTGTCACCAAAAGAAAATTTAGTCCGAGGAGCTAACTCTATTTTTTCACTTGGAAGCTTTCTTGTATGTTATATATGTCAGTTGGAATTTGCTAGAAATTGTTAATTATAATTTAACTTTTGTTTCAGATCATTCCCATTTTGAACTAGTGATTGAGTGCATACTGCAAGTTGCTGTTCAAGAAAAACAAAACTACTGTATTGGCTCTTTAGTTATTTATCGTTGTTGTATCTGGGTAAGTTGCTTATATTTTGTTTTAAGGTTGTCATGGAAAATTGTGTATGCATGTATAATGTTTAGATTATTATGTGGGGTGCATTCGTAACTGTACGGGCTTCTTAGTTTCTTCGTCCCTGTTAGTGGATGTCGCCTATATAATTGAAGAATTTTTTGACTTTCTTGGAGAATTTTGATAAATTAGTTCAGTTTGATCTATTAAAGTTAATGCATCCTTCTCTATTGATCCATCCCATGAAAGTTTTTAGTGATCCATGCTTTGGTACATTATCACTCGATCTCTTTATCTTCCTCTCTTGCATTATTCTCAATCCAGGCCATCAGCGCACTTGATTTATTCTAAAATAATTACGCAGTTTTTATTAACAATATCATTATATTTCGTCTTTTTGGCTGAAATCATATTTACATATGCGGGCAACAGGTTACAAACGTTGCATTCATTGGAAGGTCAGAAAAAGGGTTATATAGACCTTTTGACTTTAGCTTCTTGTTAATTAGGTCGAGGAATTGTTTTTCAAAAAAGGTTCAGGTAGAAATCAATTTAAATGCAAAATGTTGGCTACTAAATTGGTTTTTCATGCTTGCGGTTTGCCAATTGTTATACTGCTTCTTTACACCTTCTGAGGATGTGTTTGAATACATGATATAGACTTCTGTTAGTACAACATAGTTTCATTAGCCATGCCTAATTTTTGCACTAGCAATTAACTTAAAATACAATCTTTTGCTTTTAGATATGACCAGATTCCATAATTTGTTCTATTTGTTCTCGAGTATTTCTTGATTCTATAGTTCATGTAAAAATCAGCCCAAACTAACCACCCCTCTGTATTTATTAAGTTATACGTTCTGATCTGCCCCTCTTCTAAATAAAAGATAAACTTGTAAATTTAATCAATAAGAGTAAAATAATAAAATTAATATTTTTTGTAGTTATATTTCAATTTATTCCAAACGTAAATATGACAATGCCGGTCCTTAACTTCCTTTTTTAACTTCTCTAAATCCCATTCCTAAAGGCTTCTTTTCATAAATAGGAAGAAAATGAACAGAAAGAAAAATATTACACTTATTTTATGAGAGAAAATAAAATAAAATAAAACAAAAGATAACAATAACATAAGAAAAAAGAAGGAATAATTACACTTATCTCGCCAGAAAGAAGTCATTAAATCTTTAAAAAGTCGGAACTGCACAGAAATCTATAAAATAAACTCAAGGAGCTGGAGATAACTACTATTAACTTCTTAGATGACTATTCTGATTCATGATAGGCAAGGAAAGGAAACATGTCTAAGCACGGTCATCAACTGTCGTATAAAATGAGAGGTCAGACAATTGAAAAGGTATGACACAAATTAAATACCAAGTCGCCCTGCACCATGCCAAAAAAAACAAAAAAAAAGAAAAAGAAGAAGAAAAATAATTACATCCCATGAAGAATGCGTAAATAATAAGAGCTTCCCCTGCATCTTTAAAAACACTAATATCTCGTATTAGTGTCGACTTAGACCATATACTTTTATACATATTATTTATGTATTTTCAAGCTTTGGTAAAATTAACCAAGGGCCTTGTGACCCAGTAATATCTCCTCTACCTCCCAACGTGGATGGTGAGAGTTGAGTCTCCAAAGGAGCAAAGTGGATATGTGTGAATTTCTTGCCAATGACACACACACACACACACAAAAGAGGGTAAAATTACAGTTTAAGCAAAGCATTAGTCACCACTACAAAGAGTCCATAGTGGTGACTAATAGTTAAAAGAAATCGAGATCATACTATGGTCATTTCATGTCATTATAATGGTTCTAAAGTCCATGGGGGTATATTGGTCATTACCCATAGTCAAATAATGGTTTAAGTCCCAACAAGGGTAAACTAGCCATTTGGTACATTTATTATGGCTTCATAACTCATTAGGGGTAAAACTGTCACTTTCTATAATCATTTTATGCTTTGGTTGAAGGCTGGGGATAATTAGGTAATTTTACTAAAATATAAAGTCAAGGTGCAAATATCAGTTCATCTAACCGGGTAGATGAATGGTCCAGTAGGCGTGTAAAATTTTAGATCTCATCTCTTCTAACCAGGTAGATGAATAGTCCAGTAGGTATTTCAACTGTGGATCACATCTAACCGGTTAGTTGAAGAAAATTATCTAACCTCCTCTCTGCCCTATACATCTAACCGGGTAGATGAGATCTTCTACTTGGGTAGTTGAATACCCAAATCCTATCTAACCGGTTCACAACTTATTAGGGGTAAAACTGTCACTTTCTATAGTCATTTTATGCTTTGGTTGAAGTCTGGAGATAATTAGGTAATTTTACTAAAATATAAAGTCAAGGTGCAAATATCAGTTCATCTAATCGAGTAGATGAATGGTCTAGTAGGTGTGTAAAATTTTAGATCTCATCTAACCGGAAGATTCTTCTAACCGGGTAAATGAATGGTCAAGTAGGTATTTCAACTGTTATTCACATCTAACCGGTTAGATCCAGTTAGAAGAAAAAAATCATCTAACCCCCTCTCTGCCCCATACATCTAACAGGGTAGATGAGATCTTCTATCCGGGTAGTTGAACACCCAAATCCTATCTAACCGGTTAGAAGACCCCATCTAACCAGTTAGATGGGAGAAACCCATCAAACCCACGCGTTATCCATTCATCTAACCGGGTAGATATCTCTATCTAACCAGTTAGATGATGCCAAAATGTGAAGTGATCGGGTAGATCATTTCTCTAACCCGTACAGATGCAAACCAATATACATAAACATGAAATATAAAGCTCCATGGACATTATAAACCTCTAAACATGCCATTGAATCATCAAAATAATATCTTTCATACATCTTTCGTGAATCATAATCATCTTTAAAACATTCATACATGTGCAAAAGAATATGTTTACAAAATGATGAGGCCTCCATGGCCATACATACAAGGGCTTCACTTGAAGTTTACAAAAGAATAGAGTTGCATTCCAAGATCATTGTCAATGTTAATCTATTATAAAAGATGTCAAAAATCCGTTTATATACTTCAAAGCTTGCGGGGGTATGTCGTCTACAACTTTCTTGCCATGTTCTGAAAATAATAAATAAAGGGTGAGAACAACGACTTAGTAGGAGATGCTTGAAGCATTGACTTTGGACTTCATTGAGTCAACATACAAAGAATAGTTAAAAGAAATCAGGATTATACAAGGGAATACTAATAAGCCCAGAATCAACACAACCACACCATTATGCAATGAAATATCATGTTTTCCCGACCACAATTCCGGCCCAACTCAATTCACACCAAAAACCCGCTAACTAACTTTACCGAGACGAGATTGACTACTATCCCTGGCCTCAATTCCGACGACCATTTGGGGCCTAGTAAATCAATTTTACGCGTCCAAGTCCGGCACGCGCTCCCTCTAGGTCAAGATTAGCACCGGACTCGCGAAATCTGGTTTCTTTGATAAAACAGTTTCTCACAACCATTCTCAAACACACCTTTCAAAAATCAATCAACCAAAATTTCTTCCAAGATCATGTGCATGCTATGAAATGAGTTAATGCATTATAAACATCAAATTAACACAACCAATACTCTCAATAACAAACTTGGCATGCTTGATCTCAAAATATGACATACCATCAATTTCAACCCCAAATTTCAAAACAACAACCTTAACATTTAAACATGCTTCCACAACAACAATTTGGCATTTCAAGTATACACTTTAACAGCACATGTAGCATGATTTCATTACTAAGCATAAAGACCCCACATTAACTTCTAAATCATCTTTTTAAAACACAACGAGCATGGAATCAAATGAAAAAGTTCAAAAAAAGGCATAACATAACACTTTAACATCCCTACCTCAAAGATGCAACCCAAAGCTCCTAGATTCCAAGCTCGAAATCCACCAAATGGTAGCAAGACCGGTACTAAAATGTAGCTTTCAGGGAGTAGAATAAAGTTTCCTTGCTCCCCTCCTAGATTTCACCCTAGCTAGCTCAAATCTTAAAGAGAATCTTGAGATTTAGAGAAAAATAAATGAAGGAGAGAGAGAGTGTGACGAAATGGAAGTGGAAGGGAAAGAGGTGAAATGATGTGGTTGGTGGTTGGTATGGTTAAAAAATCATTCCTAGACACTTAAATTGTGTGGCTCACAATGACACCCCAAGTGATCAAACCAAATACCAAAATGCCCTTCCCTCTTTACAACAATACCGCCCTTATCCTAATAAATATCTCCCTCCGCTATCATTCCACTAATCATATGCCACACATACACTTATACACACATACAACACATCATCATATAAAATAGTATATGCCATGGAAAATAATACCGGGACCCACATGGCGTGCAAAACGACGTACGAAAAAATAAATAAAATAATTACCGAAAATTTCGGGGCACTATAGCATACATTGGTTTTAGCTTCAAATAACATTCACATCATCCTCCTCTTGCAAAGTCCCATCACGTGGTATCCTCTTCAATAAGCAGGTATTTACTTCTTCTTCTTTTTTTTCTAAATTTTTTTTCTTCTTCTTCTTTTTTTCTTTTATTTTTTGCTCTGCATATGTAATCACCAGATTTATCATATACGGCCATAACAAAATTAACACAAAGTTTATCAATTTGATTTCATTTTCGTCTTCTTTCGGTATCTTGTATCTTTTTCTCTGTGATTACTAGATATATATAGTACAACATTAAATTGTCTTCTTAATTCTTCTTCTTCTTCTTCTTCTTTTTTATTTTATTTTATTTTTATATTATTCCGTTGGAACGCATATTTACTAGTCCTTCTGGGACCCATTGTTCCATTGGAACACATCTTTATTTGTCCTTTTAGGACTCATTGTTCCGTTAGAATGCATCTTTACTAATCCCTCTAGGACCCATTGTTCTGTTGAAACACATTTTTATTAGTCCATTTAGGACCTATTGTTCCATTGGAACACAATCTTTGTTTCTCTTTTCAGGAACCAATGTTCCATTGGAACACACCTTTTTTTTTTTTTATTTTTTTTTTTTTTGCAGGTGGCCTTGAATATAATCTCAATAAGAACTTGAATGTGTATAAGTGCACTTATGCATTAGTTTCGAAGACAAAGCTTGATTTAGAGTTGACGGCTTGCACAAGTGTAATCCTCTTT